ATGTCCATTTACATCCAATATTGTCTGTTTCATGTTTTTTACATTAGAAAAAATTGGGTTTTCTTCTGTTAAAAAAAAATAAATATATACCTGGATGTTAACAGGTATGGATGTAAACGGATGATCATCTGTTTACATCCACTAGTCCATAGGAATGCATGGGTGTCCATTTTTCATCCGTAAATGGACATACGGAACGCCCGTGTAAAAGGGGCCTATTTTTCTTCCATAACAAAAAAAAAAAAAAAAACCCAGAACGGACGAAAAACAGATGTAAACTGACATACGTTCCGTTTTTGCATTGGTAAAGGATGTTTAAAAAAAAAAAAAAATGGAAGTAGACTGATGGGAAAACCGATGTGCACTGATAAAAAAATGGAACGCCTGTGTGAAAGGGGCCTAATGGAATTTTAGCTTCCTCCGATCCCATGCAGAGGTTCCAGTAGGGACATTGAAGGCCGGTTAGGCCTCCACCATGCTTCACATCTAGGTGACAGGAGGAGAGCGCAGAGAGCACCATGCAACCTTCATTGTCCAGTCAGCAGGCTGGGGGCGGGTCAGTGACCAGACTGTACCGCCTAACTTCAGATGAGAAAAAAATGAGGTCAGAGGCTTGGCTGTCGGAGGTTCCGGATCCGATTCGCCGCCAACAGTTTGTATAAACCAAATCACTTGTGCGCATAAAACCAGTTTGAAAGAGAAGAAACTTGACAACCCCCCCCATAACTATTCCCCCAATTACATTAAATAAAACCCTGAAATGTTACATTTACTTGCCTGAATCTATGGTCACGTGATATGCCGAGTCCAGAGTTCTCACTGTTCTGAATTGGCTCTTGCGGGGAGTTATGCAAGTATCGGGATACCTTTTTAATGGGGTGGGTGTCACTGGAGAAGTGGGGTGTTCCTAGGTAGACTTGTGTACTGACCATCCACATGTGAGGCTGAGTCTCCATGGCTGATGGACCTGAAGTACAATAAATGAAAGGGGTAGGACAGGCTGATGAGAACAGAGCTAGATGATGCTGGGCGTCCTCCAGCCAGGAAATGAGGCTGGCTCCTATGAAAGAAAGAAAGTGGCGGGGCCAGGAACAGTCAGGCTGGGGAGGAACTTTGGTTATGCTCATGCTTTTGTAGGTTGAGAAGATCACCAGACGTGGCTGGGACCCGGCCCTCCCGCCAGACGTGGCTGGGACCCGGCCCTCCCACCAGACGTGGCTGGGACCCGGTTGATTCCAAAAGAGCATCTCTATCAACAGCCTGGCATTGACAGAAAATATGATTTTGGCTGTAAGAGTGTTCGGTACCATAGGGACATGATTTATAGTTTTTGTTTTTGAAAGTAGGAGGACATTGATAATGTTGTGGGTTCATAAAAGGGATCTCCTCCAATTGTTCTTGAATGCCTGCCCTATGGACGTTTACCATTTGGATGCAAAAGGCTGTCTTCTCCCGGAGGTCCATCACCGTGGCCGAACTGTTGAGTTGAAATGAACAGGGTTTCCAGAGGAGTCGGTTTTGGGTGTGCATGTGGGGGGGTAAGATGGTTGTCTCTTGAGGCTCGTATCTATGGAAGCTGGTAAGCCATGTAGAGGGAACCAGTTTGTGTGTTGAGTGAGGTCGTAGACCGCATATGATGGACTTTGGGCCAGGAGTCTTTGGTGAAATCCAAGTCCACCATGGTACCCATCCCAGGGCCAAAGGCTGGATTGTCTAATAGAGGGGTGAGGGGACGAGGTCTTTGGTGTAATGGAACAATGATGGACATTCCTGATGGTTCACAAAGTTATTCTTACAGCTGTAAGTGAACCAAATGGTTATTTTTTTATATATTGTATATATTTGCCTCAGTTCCCGAATACCGACCACTACACCCAGCTTCAGGTCATTTTTTTTGTGTGTTTGCCGGTGTGGAAATGTCTGAGAATATTCTTCCTCTCGATGTTTTGTATGATTGTGAGATGTATCATTTTCTCCTTGCCCACTGATCTTCAATCAGGAGGGACCCGAATCCATTCCTGCACAAGAAGCATTTGGTTACCATAGCAACACTGCATCCGCTTAACTTGGCAAGGAGGATGGTTGCTTAGCAATAAGGATGCCGTGGATAAGAGTCTAGATATAGATCTGAAGTCCTGGGGAGGGAGCGCTATTGGGGGTGCGAGTGCCACATTGTCCTCTCGAATTGATCTTCTGCACAGCAATAGTTGGGACCTAAAAAGGCTTCATTCTGCACGAAGGCAGAATGTGGGGCTCCGGGATATAACCGGAGAAAACTGTTTTTTTACAACTTTTCTTAAAATTTAGTATTCCCAGATTGGGCTCTGTAGTTTGGAGATCTCGAAGAGTTTTGGGAGGGAAGAAATCGCCAACCCAATGTCCAGGTCTTGCTGAAGACCAGTAGGGTGTGTGCCCAGCCCTTATGATGATAGGCTTGGCCGTAGCTCAGGGCTCCCATTTAGGAGATAGGTGCTGTACTCAGGAGACAACAGTTCATGCTGGAGAGGGAGTTTCTTGTCCATAGGGCTGAGAGTGGTGAGATGTCTCGGAGAGCCTGGATGACTAAGCTAGTCCAGGGGACTGAGGGAATCTGGAAGTCTCAAAGGCGTGAGAGAACCCCTACCGAGAGGACAGGGCGTGGGCCCAGGCAGGGTACTGCAAATTAATTGGCTGTAGAGCTAGGAGAGCCAAGAGCACCAGGAGAGCTGAGAGGGGGCTGCAGCTAGTAACAGTGGTCCTTCGGAAGGTGATCTGGGGGACCAGAAGCCAATTGCCAAGGTTGAGGCCTAAGCATACATGCATAGATTGTCAACATGAAGAAGGTCCAATCTAGTAGGGGTGATGGATTAAAATTCAAGGCGGTCCAGTCGCTAACATTTTCTTCCAGCTGAGGTCTGAATCTCTCCAAGTAAAAGGAAACAGAACCACCTTACATCAGGTGTCCCCATACCTGAGGTTCCCCCATCAGTGTGCCCTCATATTAGATGTCCCCATCAGGGTTCCCCATACATCATATTCCCCCATCAGGGTGCCCTCATAATAGGTGTCCCCATCAGGGTAGCCCATACATCATATTCCCCCATCAGGGTGCCCTCATAATAGGTGTCCCCATCAGGGTGGCCCATACATCATATTCCCCCATCAGGGTGGCCCATACATCATATTCCCCCATCAGGGTGGCCCATACATCATATTCCCCCATCAGGGTGGCCCATACATCCTATTCCCCCATCAGGGTGGCCCATACATCCTATTCCCCCATCAGGGTGGCCCATACATCCTATTCCCCCATCAGGGTGGCCCATACATCCTATTCCCCCATCAGGGTGGCCCATACATCCTATTCCCCCATCAGGGTGGCCCATACATCCTATTCCCCCATCAGGGTGGCCCATACATCCTATTCCCCCATCAGGGTGGCCCATACATCATATTCCCCCATCAGGGTGGCCCATACATCATATTCCCCCATCAGGGTGCCCTCATATTAGGTGTCCCCATCAGGGTGCCCCATACATCCTATTCCCCCATCAGGGTGGCCCATACATCATATTCCCCCATCAGGGTGCCCTCATATTAGGTGTCCCCATCAGGGTGCCCCATACATCCTATTCCCCCATCAGGGTGCCCCATACATCCTATTCCCCCATCAGGGTGCCCCATACATCCTATTCCCCCATCAGGGTGGCCCATACATCATATTCATACATCATATTCCCCCATCAGGGTGCCCTCATATTAGGTGTCCCCATCAGGGTGGCCCATACATCATATTCCCCCATCAGGGTGCCCTCATATTAGGTGTCCCCATCAGGGTGGCCCATACATCATATTCCCCCATCAGGGTGGCCCATACATCATATTCATACATCATATTCCCCCATCAGGGTGCCCTCATATTAGGTGTCCCCATCAGGGTGGCCCATACATCCTATTCCCCCATCAGGGTGGCCCATACATCCTATTCCCCCATCAGGGTGGCCCATACATCATATTCCCCCATCAGGGTGCCTTCCATATATTAGCTGCCCTATCACTGTGCCCACTTACATAAAGTTTCCCCCATCAGAGTACCCCCCCATAGATCAGTAGAGTCCATTAGAACTAGGCAGGCATGGAGTGGGAGCTGGGAGAAGCGGTCCTGCAAGGGGCAGGAGCTGGGAGAAGCGTCCTGCTACACACACACACACACACACAATGTTATTGGTTGCTATGATGCGGGTGGTCCTAACAACCCATGGCTGCTACTTAGTGAGGATCCAGCACAGCAGGTGGGCTTATGGTATGTGCTGGGCTGTCAGTAGGTCCAGATCAGGACCATGGTCCACCATTTAGTGAAGGCTGCTGTACAAGACCTTCCTGGTGTAAATCTCATCACTGAAGTACACACCCAACACTGCACCTGTGTGCGCCAAAGTATAACCACGATTGTGATCTCAACAGCCAATCACTTCACCCAAATTGATGTCCGCTTTTCTCTGAGAATCCACCGGCACCAATCTTCTCCGGTCATTAATGATTTTTCTCCACTCCCCTGATGCTTCATCCGGCTTTTTATTTCGGTTTGCTTTTAAAAACATGTTTTTTATAATAATTGCTGGACTATAAGGCTGATTTTCTTTGGAGTGCTCCTTTAATTGTGGCCGCACACAGAAGTGAATTGCCCGTGGCTGGGATCCTCCGTGGTGTCCAGTCTTTTCTCTGCCCTTTCACTTCTTTTCTTTTCTTCCTCATCTTTACTCTGTTACAATGTAGCTATGACATCAGATCTGTAGAATTTGCCACCATTGGCTGCCCCATCCGGCCGTTTCCGCTCTCGTCTATAAGTGGAATTGTGATCTACAATCCGAGGAATGTGGCCGACCAGCGTCATTCGGGATCCTGCGCTGTGCGGAAACTCTGCATTCTTCACTTCTGCTTGTGGTATGCAGAGCATTCCTCCTCCGTGAGATAGAGGCCGAGACCTCCCGTCCCCGGGGAGGATACAGAGCAACGCTGGAGGTTCTTTCCGGCTTTTTCCGCTCATGTTGTATCAGTGAAAAGAGCGCGAGGCTGCGCCATTGACCGTCTCCTGTACTATGTCCGCAGTCTCTGACTGTCTCCTGTACTATGTCCGCAGTCTCTGACTGTCTCCTGTACTATGTCTGCAGTCTCTGGTCATCTCCTGTACTATGTCTGCAGTCTCTGGTCATCCCCTGTACTATGTCCGCAGTCTCTGGTCATCTCCTGTACTGTGTCCGCAGTCTCTGACCGTCTCCTGTACTGTGTCCGCAGTCTCTGACCGTCTCCTGTACTGTGTCTGCAGTCTCTGACCGTCTCCTGTACTGTGTCTGCAGTCTCTGACCGTCTCCTGTACTGTGTCCGCAGTCTCTGACCGTCTCCTGTACTGTGTCCGCAGTCTCTGACCGTCTCCTGTACTGTGTCTGCAGTCTCTGACCGTCTCCTGTACTGTGTCCGCAGTCTCTGACCGTCTCCTGTACTGTGTCCGCAGTCTCTGACCCTCTCCTGTAGTATGTCATTTTGATATTTTTGTAGCATTACATATACTTATTACTATATATCTGGCCTCTCGGTGAGGTCAGAGCACAGCTGAGGCCCTGCATGCCTTGTAAGTTGATCTCCCCTGCTGTACAGTGAGCTGTGAGGACTTCTAAGAACTTCCTATTTTGTTCCATTTTACAATTGGTGAGATGAGCCCATCTCCTCTCTCTGGCTGTCTGAATCTGGCGTGCTATAAAAATTGTGTTTAAAAAAAAAATTAAATTTAAAAAAAAGAAATATTTTTTGCAAGGGCCTATGGTGGTCAGTTTTCTAGCTGGAAGGGGGGGGAGCCTGGATGACCCTACTGTCACTCAGCAGCCTGGCTCATGGGGGAATCGCATGTCCCTGATAAGAATGTGTTTTAGGTTTTACTTAGCCGGTAATCTGTGCAGGCATAATAGTGAAGGGCTCCTGCGTCCCCCCGTGTCTGCGTCCCCCCCGTGTCTGCGTCCCCCGTGTCTGCGTCCTCCCGTGTCTACGTCCCCCATTGTCTGCATCCAGGCACAGGGGAGAAACGTTTGGTGTCGGTTTTCCCAGTCAGCTGAGCCCCTTCTGTCCCTCTGTCGCAGTGTTGCCGGACTGTCGCCCCCCCGGAGCGTCTCTGTAACTGGATGAGGGACGCGTGGCTGCAGCGCCCGTTTTAGTAAGCGCATGACATGGGCGTTCCAAAAATATCCTGTGTGCAGGATGAGGTCCAGAGATTGGGCGGAGAGGAATGCCGGTCCTCGCTATGTCTGACATGTGGAGCCGCGGTCATTTAACCTCTTCTGTGCTCCCAGTACATAGAATGCCCGTGTGAACGCCGATGGATGACGCAGCAGCAGCTGGCCATGTATGTTTCTCAGTACTGCTGTTTACCTCCAACCTCTTTCAGCCGCTTCCTGCCTCTGTGCCAGGCCACCATAAAATTGAGGTCCAATACAGCCGAACTGACGGCTCCCAGCATTTCCATTGGACCAGTGTGGGCAGTGATGCATGTCTGTGCTGGCCCAGCGCCTCCTGCCTGTCGATGTTCAGGGATATGGCAGTAGCTCTGTGTTCCTCTCCCCGGCCACCCAACCTGAGCAAAAATTCCTCAGCCTGAGCTTCCTCATCCCACCAGGTTGCTAATGATGGGGAAGATAACTGGAGCCCCAACTTCGTGGGAGTCCCCGAAGAGAGCCTTGGACACTGTACTGACCCGGGCCCCTCTTGCTGACCCAAAGGGACCCAATACAGCAGTTCTGCCTACACCCCCTCTGTTGGCGGCCCACCTCCATGTACTCGCTCACTGCTCTGGCCCGGCTTCCTGATGGTGACCGTGGTGGGTTACATACCTTCGAACTTTCTGAGATGAGAATGGCGTATGCCGGGGCTTGAAAAAGACGCTCGCCAAATGCGAGGAGAAATTTCTCTGTGGCGTGCACAGATGAAGAAGCATGGAGTGACTGCACATGCGCTCCAAGCCTCATTGTGAAGCCAAGTTCCGGTTTACAACTTCCGGTTTACAACTTCCGGTTTCTGCGGCATCACCATTACAGTGGCATCGCCGCTGAGGGGACACGTGCAGGAGAGGTCCGCTCTCCTACACTAAGAGGAGACACGCTCTCCACCGCCGCGGGGGACTCTGGGCCCGCTCTCCACCGCCGCGGGGGACTCTGGGCCCGCTCTCCACCGCCGCGGGGGACTCTGGGCCCGCTCTCCACCGCCGCGGGGGACTCTGGGCCCGCTCTCCACCGCCGCGGGGGACTCTGGGCCCGCTCTCCACCGCCGCGGGGGACTCTGGGCCCGCTCTCTACCGCCGCGGGGGACTCTGGGCCCGCTCTCCACCGCCGCGGGGGACTCTGGGCCCGCTCTCCACCGCCGCGGGGGACTCTGGGCCCGCTCTCCACCGCCGCGGGGGACTCTGGGCCCGCTCTCCACCGCCGCGGGGGACTCTGGGCCCGCTCTCCAGTAAGGTTTGTGCCTGGCTAGTAGGTCTGGACTCGAAATTTTAACCCCTGGCGTACGCCTTTGTAAACCACAAATTAAGGTGAAGGACACGCCTCTGCCACACCCCCAAGTGATGTGGACCACTAAAAAATGTCTACATAAAAGATGATTGGTTAACCCCTAAGCACTGGCCCCCGCTGGCTTTTTATAGGGTTCTGAAAGACGGGAGGCAGGCTTTTCAAATGTGGTCATTGTGATTGGCTGTCACAGCAATTAAAAGACTTGGAGCCCCTCCCACCGTCCCCTTTTTTTAAAAGGGGTCTAAAGGATGGGGGGGCGACCAATCACAATGACCACATGATCGAAAAGCCTGTCTCCCATCCTTTATAAGCTGGTGTGAGGGGCTCCAAGTCTTTTAACTGCTGTGACAGCCAATCACAGGGATCACATGCTTGAAAAGCCTGCCTCCTGTCTTAAGATGCCTTTAAAGATTCAGTGGGAGGGGCAACAGGTCATCTGGGTGCTGTGACAGCCAATCACAATGATCCCATGCTCAAAAAAAGCCTGTCACAGCACCCAGATGACCTGTTGCTCCTCCCACTGACCCTTTAAAGGCTTCTGAAAGAGAGGAGGCAGGCTTTTCAAGCATGTGATCGTGGTGATTGGCTGTCACAGCAGTCAAATGACTTAAAGCCCCTCCCACCAGCTCTTTAATGGGTTCTGAAGGGTGGGAGGCAGGCTTTTCAAGCATGTGATCCTTCTGATTGGCTGTCACAGTGGTCGTATGACCTGGAGCCCCTCCTGCAAGCCATTTAAAGGGCTCTGAAAGATGAGGTTGGCTTTTTCGAGCATGTGATCTTTGTGATTGGCTGCCACAGCAGTCGGATACCCTGAAGCCCCTCCCACTGGTTTGTGATCATAAATGGTGGCCGGGTTACTGCGACGGGAGCGTCCCCATAGAACGGTTCATGAAGAAATGTGTGCATAGCCGGCGTTAAGGTCCGCCCTCTGCGCTGACTCATGTGCGTCACGCCAGCAGGAAGGGCGGGTAAACCCATTGCTGCCCCTTTATCTTCATGAATACAAAATCCTGGAGAAAAGGATGAAGTCACCATTTTGGTCATTTTTAATTCTTTAACTTTTTGGTCTATACCTACAACTGAGGAGAAAGGATGGACAATCCCTCCAAATGGGGGGGGAGATGGGCGCTCTGGTTGACCATGCCTGTGTGTAAGTGCATCTACTTGTCTCCAGCAGGTGGTGCTGTGGCAGGGTGACACCACTGGGGCACATTGGAGAGACAGTTGTCACCTTGTAACAGGAGATAAGTCAATGTGTGCCACGATGGGGATTTGCATTGGCAGGTGGAGAGCCGCTCTGTGCCGTGAAAGGGCCCTCTATTCTCTGCAGACACCGGCCAATCCAGCGGGCTCATTTACAAGTCGCTTTCCCTGCCGTGCCGCGCCCGCCGCGTTCTATATCGCCGCATCAAAGCGTTCCCAACGCTGCGAGAAAGAGGACCGGGATTAATATTTGTATCAGATGTTGTGCTCTATGTAGTGACTGCGCCTGGGCTGAGATGATGTCATCAGTCTCCCGCAGGCAGGAAGAAGGGTTTCCTCAGTCTCCCCTCCCCCAGTGATCAGGCTGTACATTGTTCCTTTGTAGAAGGAGGAGGAGGCATTTCCTCAATGCACAGTCTGATCACTGGGGGGAGGGGAGACTGAGGAAACGCCGCTGCCTCCTCCTACAAAGTTACAATGTACAGTCTGATCACTGGGGGAGGGGAGACTGAGGAAATGCCGCCTCCTTTCTACTAAGTTGCAATGTACAGTCCAGGGGCGGACTGACCATTTGGAAACGGGGTCAGTAGGGGGCCCCATGAGATGCCCCTGGTACCTTTTTCATAGGCTTTTTTGAGTTTAAGCAAGGACACAGGGGCCCCATGATCCCCTATTGCCCGGGGGCCCCATGAGTTGTCAGTCTGCCCCTGGTACAGTCTGATCCCTGGGAGAGGGGAGACTGAGCAAATGCCGCCTCCTCCTTTTAGTCTCCCCTCCCCCAGTGATCAGACTGTACATTGTAACCTTGTGGAAGGAGGAGGAGGCATTTCCTCAGTCTCCCCTCCCCCAGTGATCAGACTGTACATTGTAACTTTGTAGAAGGAGGAGGTGGAGTTTCCTGTACTGACACTTCCACATTGATGAGCTCTTGTCATCTCCGGAATAACCCCCCCCCCCCCACCCCGTGACCCCAGGGGCCATATTGGTTCCATTTCTGTTCTGGGTCGGTGCTGAGAGGAATGTGAAACCATAAATCCTGACCGGGAGCGCCGTGCCGAGGGGGGAGGAGTCTCAATGCGATTGCATAACACAGGCCAGGCGGTCGGCATTTTCAGGCGGAGGCCGGCAGCGACGGTCTGCGGGTTTCCATGACGATGAGAAATGTTGGATAAAACGGAGCTTTTCATTGCCGGAACTTCGGAGGATTCCAGATTTTCCTGCACGTTCCTCTATGGATTATATCGCCATCTGTGCGCCGCGCTCCTCCGCAGCCAGCGTTCCTCGTGGGCGTTCGCCTGACTTGTATTTGTTGAGCGCGTCAATATTTATCTCCGAGAACGTCTGTTGTGACGCGTTTCCCGATCGTCTCCAGATCCTCTGCCTTGGCGCACGAGCGACTTATCGCTAATCGTCGTCTGAGACTTCGAGGAACATTTAAAGGAATTGTCCACCCAAAAGTGTTAGTGAAAGGCGGAGCTTGGGGGGAGGAGTCTGCCCTTGGCTTCTTATGTCTGCAATACTGAGATCTCCCTGATATTGTTCTTGGATCTGTTCCTGTCCTCCTGGAAGTTTTGAGTGTCCCCGCCCACTATTTGCGTGTTCCCAGCTCCGCCTGCTACATCCTGTATAATAGAAAATCATTAAATCTGGCAAGGATGGTGGGAACGCTTTCTAATGGGCATAGCGGGTGTACAGACCCGGGAATTCGGCATAGGGATGGTGGGAACCCCTCCTAATGGGCACAGCGGGTGTACAGACCCGGGCACTCAGTACGGGGATGGTGGGAACCCCTCATAATGGGCACAGCGGGTGTACAGACCCGGGAACTCGCACAGGGATGGTGGGAACCACTCATAATGGGCACAGCGGGTGTACAGACCCGGGAACTCGGCATAGGGATGGTGGGAACCCCTCCTAATGGGCACAGCGGGTGTACAGACCCGGGAACTCAGCACAGGGATGGTGGGAACCACTCATAATGGGCACA